ACGGCAGCCATTGTGAGCACCAATTCACAGTCCTAAAACCACGGTACACATCCATTCTCAATACGATTTGGCGGGCGCACAACAGCCCTAGCCCCTCAAGAATGAAGCTTTTCGGGTGGATCTCGGTCGCATTCCTCGCTTCGACGGCTTTATCGATAGAGACAGCAGCACCTTCGATCGAGACACTGCCATTCTCGCAGCCCCAAGTTGCAGAGTCTAGACGCAGAGCATTCGAGGTGCTGCAGATTCTCAGAAAGCGAGACGGCAACTGTCCCTCCGGTTATGACACTTGTTCCAAGCTGGGCCACTCCGATATCTGCTGCAAGGACAATACCATCTGTACTCGCGACGATGCCAATAATATCGCCTGCTGCCCGACCGGAGCTAGCTGCACGGGGACGCTTTCTGCCACTGGCACCGGAGTAGTCGTGGTCGGAGGTTCTACTAGTAGCTTCCGATTCCCTCAGACAGCAAGCGCTACGCAAACCACTGCCGGGCCGACCAGTGTCACTCTCACAGGCTCAACTCTCGCCGCCGCCTACCCATTCGTCGTCATCCCGACCTCGTTCGCCAATGCCCAGGTCTGCACATCCTACTACTCCTTATGTCAGAGCGAGTACACTGGCTGTCTGTCACAGCTCGGGGGCGGGTATGCAGTGACGGTTGCCGTAGACGGCGGTTCGGGGACGACCCGGGCAGGCGTCTCAGCAGCTATGTCGACATGCTCTAGTCTCAGTCTGGAGGCTTGCCATGGCCTGGAAATCGGATACTGCGCGGCCTACACTACCGGCGTTTACGAGAACCGAGCGACAGGACCCAGACGCACTTCCAGCCTCGAGGACCTTCTCTTCGGTATGTTTATCGGAGTGGCTGGAATGTTCATGTGAAGTTGTCGTCCTACAGGGTACCGGGCTTCATGTCGATAACGTACGGAATTTGGATATATATGCTTGCTGGCAATTTATGACTGAATTGGTTGGGATGCGAATGGGATGACAATTGATGACCAGTTTCGAAACTCTTGGCAGGCTTCGGAGCTTTTGACGCTTATATATGGCATCTGGCTTATGAAATGATGTGACGATGATGTGCTATGTTCGGAAGTTTTAAGGCTAACATGACTGTGATGTATTCGCGGAGAATCTTGTACATAAGAATGACAATGAAATAGCATCAATGCACACACAAGATGAAGTGTTATATTGTCTTATAAAATAAAGTATAGCCCGAGCACGATTCTAGTTCGGACCAGGTCTCTGAAGTGGGAATACGACAACGAGATCCATACTGGTCTGATGTGCGCATACGGGGGTGGGTGCCACACACCGCTTCACCAACGCATTGTTATAAATAGGGCTTTCTAGACCGGTGACGAGCGGAACATACTAACAAACTGGGTCCGTGGTATAGATTGGAGGTCACAGATCATAGGTCAGATCCAAGGTAGCTTACTGCATCACTCATACGCCAAAAGAATCACTGCCCAAGTAAGGAATTAAATTGGTCCTCGGACGACACGTAGGAGGTGCTGGTGCAGTGGTCTCCATGCCTGAATACCTGATTTGTGACGGTGTGTGGTCAGAGAGTCAGACATGCAGTCAGTACCTGACAGAACTTCCACCCGGGCATCAAATCAGGGAAGACCATGGCCAGACCGACTCTCAGTCTCGTCACGGAGAAATCCTCTAGAGGGGTGGAGCCCAAACATTGTTTCGCAGGCTAAATTCCTTAGTTTGCGTATATTTTTGCCCAGCATGAGGGTGACTGGTGCAAAAGGATGATGACGCTGTCAGGAACCTCCAGCAAAGAGGGGGAGAAATTCAAGAAAGCAAGCGGCGGGTGAATGATAGACTGAGTAGACGGGAGGGGCAGTGGGAACTGGAGCAATTGACCAGTGCACTCCGGAGGGGCAACAAGTGCACTGAGTGGGGGTATCCCAGCCTCCCGAATTTCCATTTTTAAATCTGATGAAGCGTAAGTGGTAAGTTGACAATCATGACTCCTTCCAGCTCCTTCATTGCGGGTTGGCAGTGATTGGCGGTTGCTGTCGCATAAATTGCGGTGGTTGGGGAGACGACGGCACGGAGGCTGGGATCAAAAGACAGGAAGGGAGACGTCGGAAACTCGACTGCATGAACAGCTCTTCCTCGGTCTAGTTCAGTTTACTCTCTCTCTCCCCCCCCCCCCCCCCCCCCCCCGCCTTCTCTTTCTCTCTGACTCTTTGCTCATTCTTGCTTGCGCGGAGAGATTTTTCTCGTTTTCTCATATCCACACTATTGACAGTTGCATTCCAGTCCATTGCTTGGCTTTGTTTACTGTATGCTTTTGTCCGTTGTATGAAGCTCGTTTACCATACTACGGGGCCGTTGAAACGGGTGTTGTGATAAGCCTGAATCCTGGACATCGCTGAGAGCGATCGGAATTCAGAAAACATTCCAGAGCCCCAGTATACGCCCCCCTCGTGGCTGTCATCGCTAATCAGACGTTCTCTCTTCGCCATGCATATGTCCCGCATACTGCAGTCGGCCATATCTATATTCCCTTTACTAAACCTTCAGGCCGTGACGGCGATCTCACCGGACACTGCGCCTGCAACTGCGACGGCGACGGCGACGGCGACTACAGCCCCAACCGCAATTGCGACGACCTTGGAGTACGAAGAGCACGATTATGCGAATGGCACAGTCCTAGAGAAACGCTGCGCAAATCCCTGCGGCTACTATAGCCAGCTCTGCTGCAGCTCCAGCGAGTCATGTAGTACCAACAGCAATGGCCAAGCCGAGTGCGTAAGTGCTGGCAGCGGCGGCAGCTGGGAGTATTTCACCACAACCTATGTCCGAACCGAGACGGAGACTGCTACGTTCACATCCACATGGAGCAGCTATATCTCGGCGACTTCTTCCGGCTCCAGCTGCGATGCCAGCGTCGGGGAGACCATCTGCGGTAGTGACTGCTGCGGCCCTGCGTACGTCTGCTACAGCAACCAGTGTATCTTGGGAAGTACATCCATCTGGGCCACGGAGACTGCCACGCCGGCCGTCCGAGGCACGACTTTATCGACAGCCACACACACGGCCTCGATAACAACCACCCAGGGTTTCATTGCTCCCGTCAACACGGCCGGCTCAACGGTGATCGGAATGAAGGCTTCAAGTGGTGGATTGAGTGGTGGTGCGATTGCAGGCATCGTCATCGGAACAATTGCCGGCGTCATCCTGCTGCTGCTACTATGCGCTTGCCTGTGCTGCCGTGGTATTCTGGACTCGCTCTTTGCATGTCTGGGCTGCGGTCGTCGAAAGAGAAAGGAGACGACCTACGTCGAAGAGCGTTACCATCGTCATTCGCATGCGCATGGCGCCGCTCGGCCCGAAGGACGGACCTGGTTCGGAAGCCGGCCAGCAGCGGCAGCAGCATCGACTGCAGGGGAGAAGAAGAAGTCTTCCTGGAATGGTTTGGCTACCATTGGAATCATACTGGGTGCGCTTGCACTGTGCCTGGGCTTGAAGAGAAGCAGAGACCACCGCGACGACGATGAGAAGACGGATTACACATACCCAAGTAGTTATTACTACTACTCCGACTATTATACCAACGACGGTAAGCGCTGCGCATCCTTGCGAGATTGATGTCATTCGGAATGCTGACCCCATACTTTTTAGGCAGCGAAATCACTGATGACCGGCGCACAAGAGAGACAAGACGCTCCAGACGATCTCGTACGCGCTCACGAAGATGATGAATTGACGGAACGAACTCGACGAACTTTGAACATGATTTCCTGGTCACAATGGACCCCTTTCTTTTCTCTTTCTTGCTTATTCTCACAAGCTGTTTGCATGAATCGGCGCTCTATCAGGTTTCCGGCGTGTGTATTATGACGTTTTCTTCAGTTTTCTGGCTGAAGGACTTTCTATGTATGATGATGCCTTATGTTGTCATGTTGTTATGCAAACCCCTGCGATGTGCTAATGTTTCGGATGATTGCGATGTTTCTTTTCCCAATCGATGGAAGACCTGGGAAGGCAGATGTAAATATGAAATCAATGAAAGATATGATATGAGATAATCTAATCAGACATTGCTTTGAAGACAATGAAAAAAAGGTGAGCAAGCAGTAGACCGGAAGTATGCTGTTTTGTTATCTTGCATTTTGCCGGCATGTACCGGTGTACAGTATAGTACTATTCCCTCTGAGGCCGGCAAATAAGATGGCCACACGCGCAAGCTGCATCGAGCCTGAGAGCCTGAGAGTACTATTGCTTGAGTTCCGAGTTGGCGACAAAGATAATCATGCACCTGCCAGATCAACTCGTGCGCATTTCTCACGGTGTAACCTGCAAGGCGCCTATCAACGGTCCGAGGACGGGCTGGGAGGAAAATGACATGGGGTCGACTCAAGTACTCCGTACTCCGGTCTGAAAAAGAAAGAAAAAAGCAAAGCATGTATCACATTGCTTGAAGGAGGGCGATCATTGACTTGTCTCAGATCTTAGGACTCGGGGAGTTGTTCCAAGAAAAGGGTCCAGGCGAAACTCCGAGGGTCGGCTTCTTCCTCCTACTATTTCACTACTGTGCTGTACTGAGTTACTCCTCTCTCAGTACTCCGTGGTAGTAGTAAGCACGGCACAAACTGCCCGGGCGGAACCAGTGCCTCCCCGCCTCCCGTAGTCTCAAGTTCAAGTCCCAACTGGAAGTCCATTCCAATTCATTCATTCATCAATTCCACCCTCCGTCCTCCTCACCACCACCTCGACATTCAAATCAACTTCGCCCCCTCCCAAACACCACAACCTCCACCCCCCCACGATAACATACACACCCAGTGTACATAGCCTATATCCATGAGTACAATCTCGAGCTTGGCTTCTTGACACACTCTGAACACTCCCCTCGACATTCCCTGTCTTAGTCCGGTTTTTATCCGCCCAGGGCTGTTCCAAGGTCTTCCCTCCTGAGGATTACGAGTCCCCGTTGTGCTCCGAGTCTTCGCCAACCCCGTCATGCTTCAAACGCAGACCCAGCACGTTTTTTCTCATCAGCATCAGTACCCGCAGGCTGATCCCTCGTGGCTGCAACATCAGCAGCAGCACCACCAAGCCCATCCGCACCAGGCTCAGCAACAGCAGCATTCTTTGGCCGCCCAACAGCATGCCCAAGTTCAGGCGGCCGCTGCCGCTGCCGCCGCCGCTCAACAACAACACTACACCCGGATCGCTATGGCAGGAAATGCCGGTGCTGGTAACCCTTCCCAGGGAGCCGGTGCTGGAGGGTTAGGTGGGGATGGTGCTTTGTCGGGTGCGGTGTCGGTAATGGATGGCGGGATCAGCGACGAGAACCGCAAGGTCTTCATCTGGGTCGCAGAACTCCTGGATCCGAATCGCAGAGAGGCGGCTCTCATGGAGCTCAGCAAGAAGAGAGAGCAGGTTCCGGAGCTCGCGCTGGTGATTTGGCATTCTTTCGGTATGGTCTCGATGCTGGCCTGCTTCACCAATCTGGGTGGCAACTAACATGGTCCGGACCTCTAGGAGTCATGACTGCACTACTTCAAGAGATCATCTCTGTATACCCGCTGTTGAATCCTTCTCAGCTCACTGCCGCGGCCTCGAATCGAGTTTGCAATGCGCTGGCTCTGCTTCAGTGTGTCGCTTCCCACAACGAAACCCGTACTCTATTTCTGAACGGTACGTGGCCCTCTGAAAGTCTCACAGCCATGAAGCACTTCTGACATTTTATCGCTCTTGCTCACATAGCGCACATTCCTCTTTTTCTATACCCCTTCCTCAACACGACGTCCAAGTCGCGCCCTTTCGAATACCTTCGTCTCACCTCGCTCGGAGTGATCGGAGCCCTGGTCAAGAATGACTCCTCTGATGTTATCAACTTCCTTCTCACCACCGAAATCATCCCCCTCTGCCTTCGCATCATGGAGACGGGCTCCGAGCTGAGCAAGACGGTCGCGATTTTCATTGTGCAAAAAATTCTCCTCGACGATATCGGCCTGGCGTACATCTGCGCGACCTACGAAAGATTCTATGCCGTGGGTACCGTCTTAAGTAATATGGTTACTCAACTAGTGGAGCAACAGACTGTTCGACTTCTCAAACATGTCGTACGTTGTTTCCTTCGGTAAGCCTACTTTCTCCGTCATACCCCGCCCCGCATGAATCACACGTGCTAACGGTTGAACAGGTTGAGCGACAACAGCAGAGCGCGGGAAGCTCTGCGACAGTGTCTTCCCGAACCGCTGCGAGATGCGACCTTCTCCTCCGTCCTCCGTGATGACGCTGCCACCAAGCGTTGCCTGGCGCAGCTCCTCATCAACCTCTCGGATAATGTCTCCGACGGCGCACCGGGTGTTGCCATGTAAAAAGTCTCAAAAGCATCTTTTTCTCTTTTGATTTATTACTTGGTATATTTGACCACCTTACGACATGCATGGGACCGGCTCTAGGCGAAACATGGATTACAAGGCGCAAAGTTCGTGGTATGGCAATGCATTGACGAGATGAAAATATAAGATCGAGATAAAAAAACCCCCACCAGAAGAGGATGGAGATGAAGGCGATCAAGAGGGAAGGGAAAAAATCTAGGTAGGGGACCACCGCTTGCGCTTGGGGTTTCTGTGTCCATTGTTATCAAAGGGTTTGCTGTTTTCTATTCGCATTGCCTGGGCTTATCTGTTCTGGGCCTGCTGTGATTTTGTTATAACTTCATTCTTCCCCCCCTGTTTCTCTTTTACATTGCCCCCAGTGTTGAACACTTCTTTTCCATTTCGGTCACAATGGTTTGGCTGTGCGGTGGCGTGGATACGGATGGCGCTATTTGTCTTTGTGCATTTTGCTTCTCCTCTATGATCCCCTTTCCACATCCTCCATCTGAGTGAGATAGACCCTCTTTGAGCGAGATACCAAGATTTAGTTGTTGTTTTTATTCCTCTTTCTTTTACTTTCTGTTGTATTAAGCTGGTTCTGCTTCTGTCTGCTGTGTGAAAACTTCCATCTGGCTATAATGTGTGCAATTGTTGTTGATGGGCTTCATCTTTTTTTTTTCTTTTCTTCTCTTTTATTTCTTCTTTACCATCGCATGCATACTGCCTCTTTATTCTTAGTTCATATCAAAATCTACTATTTACAGAAGCGCAGCCTGCAGCCTTGAACAGAGGGGTGAATCAATATTGGAATGAAGGGCTTATCGATGCGCCACTATCAAACGAACCAAACCAAACCAAACCAAACCACGTCACCTGACCGGGGTCTCGACGCGCCGCAGTGAGACGGACGGGCCTGTGAGCTCATTCATCTCTTCAGCCAGCCCAGCCCCGAACGAACACACGCCCGCCCGCCCTGGCGAACGATTTTCCTGTGTCTACTCAGTAACTACTAACTACCCACCATCCCGTCGATCACGCCCTTGCCCTCCCCTCCGCTTGTTACATTGAGCCACCTTCTGTGCAATTTACTCTCGTGATCTCCCACGTATCATATCATATCATTACTTACGTTCCAACCGATCACAAAATCTCCCCCCTCTCACCGCAGAAGCGGATTCGCCGCTCCCGTCGGAACCTTGTCTTGCGCTGCGGCGCCTTTGATGGTCTTGATCCGCCGTCATGGTATCGCGAAAGCGCGCCCGCTCCGAGGTGGATGCTGCTCCGGAGCAGCCACCTGAGGAACAGGGCCTCCTTCAGAAGCTGCGGAACTGCTGGGAATTTGCGAATCTCATGCAGTACATCGCCATTTTTGGGAAACCTATGAAGATTGATGAGGATTTTGGAATTGAGGTATGGGTGCATCATCCGTGCGGCTGAGGTTCCCTTCATTTATTATTTTTTCTCTTTGGCCCGGGCTGCTCTCGTTGCTATTCTCTAATCCTCCGGTCGCGCTTTCTTCGCAAACAACTGACATTTTGCGCTTCGCGTTTGCTTTCTAGGACCTAGAAAATGAGTGTATGAAGCCGGAGTCGTCAGAAAAACTCCTGGAGATCGGACTTTGTCTCCTCAAATGGGTGTCGTCGCATCGTGGCCTCACGTACGTCACAATCTTGGACCCAACTTACCTGTGTGTTACTGCTGACGCCATGTCCTTGTTGCTCTTAGGTTCGACAACTTCGATGAGTATACGCGACGCCAGTACAACGCGAAGGCCCCCCATATCACGAACCCCTTTGGATATGACGAGGTACCCAATAAGTTCTTGGAGTTTGATGTGTTCTTGAAGCTTCGCGTTCTCCACCAGCTGTCCATTTGGACTTTCTGGAACCCCGACCGCATCCGTGACAAGATGCCGGAACAGCGCGAGTTGGATCAGACACAATGGGTAGGTGCCTCCCTGCGGAGAGATTTCGTGATGCTCAAGTCGCTCACCTTTTGGGTTCCGTTCCTAGCGCATTGAAGAGATAGGCTACGATCGCGATGGACGATACTATTACATCCTGGACGACAACAGACTCTATCGTCGGACCGATCCCCCGATCCCAGCACCCAAGCCGGTCAAGAGCAAGTCTAGGAGAAAGAGCGCCCGGGCGGTCAGAGCGTCCAAACGGAGAAAGGTGACTGGGGCTGACCCTGTGGAAGAGTCCGAAGAGGAGAATGACGGTGCCGCGGACGGGGAAGTTTCCAAGGATCCCTTCGCAGATATGCAGTGGGAATGCATTGCTATCACCCTCTCGGACTACCGGCAATTCCTGGAGACGATCCAAAAGACCAGGGATCCCGATGAGAAGATTCTCCGTGATCGGATTGTGGAGCAGGTCCTTCCCATCATCGAAAAGGAAGAAGAGTCCCATCAGCGACAAAAGGTCAAGCGTGAGAAGGAACTTGCCAACATGCAGCTGCTTGCGGGCGCCAAGCGGTCCAGTCGACTTGCCGGAAAGGCGGAGAAAGAAAGACAAGAGCGCGAGGCTATTGAGGCATCGCGTAAACGGGAAACTGAATTAGCCGCGGCTCTCAAGGAGGAAGAAAGACTGAAGAAGCTTGAGACAGAGAGACGCTCGCGCATCATCACTCGTGAGCAGCGTACCAAGGATCGCGAGCGCAAGCGGATTCTGCACGAAAACGAATTGCAGCGCATTGAGGAAGAGCACAAGAAGGTCGAGCGAGGCGAGAGTCGAGCATCCGAGAGGCATCTCAGAGCTGAGATGGAAAGATACCGGAAGAATCTCGAAGATCTTTCCCAAGAAGATCAGTGGACATTTGATTGCTCGGGCTGCGGAGTCCACGGTCAGAACCTGGTAAGTCTCAAGCGCCGATGATAAGACGCGTCTGCTAATCCAAGGTAGGATGATGGCTCTCATAGCGTCGCATGCGAAAAGTGCAATGTGTGGCAACACAGCAAGTGTCTTGGTATCCCTAAACACGAGGCCGAGCGCGAAGATTTCCATTTTGTCTGCGATGACTGCAAGAGGCGCGATGAGGAGGCGAAGAAGCCCAAGATTCCGCCGTTGAAATTCCGACTCGGTTCCTCAACCTCACCCTCAGGCGCTGCCGACGGCGAGCAGAAGATCAGGGACGCGGAAACATACCCCCTTCCAGCCACGAAACAAGCTCAGTCTACTGGCCCCATGCCTTCAGTCGAATCTCCTTCAAAACACTTACCATCCCTACCACACATGATCTCTCAGACTTCTGATCAATCTCCCTCTTTGCCCCCAGCATCTCCCGAGCGCCGACCCTCGTCTGCGCATGCAGCGCCGTTGAGTTCCCCTCGGGCTCCATTCTCCCCGTCAAAAGGCATGAATGGCTTTACTCCAGCATCCAAGGAACTGCCCCCCAAACTTCCTTCAATGCAGCTGCCGCTTAACGGTCGTGAATCCTTCACTGGCGGCGGTCTCTTTGGACGGCGCCCATCGTCATCTCATTCCGTACACAGCCCAACCCTTCCGTCTCCCATCCAAAACCGTCCCTCTATGTCACCGACCCAGGGCAACCGCGACGTCGGTCCGCTTGCAGGGTTTCCGCCCGGGGCATCGTCGGACCATGTGGCTCCCTGGACACCGCACGGCCAGCATCAGACTCCACGCCCCAACACGGGCAACAGTAATGTCCCGCTGCCCCCACTCAGCAACGGCCGACCGTCCTTCATCGCCACACCTACCGGCGGTGGTGGCAGCCGGTCGTCGCCGCCACAGAGCTCGCACGGCGTGCCCTTCTCCGGGATCAGCCCGACCAAGCAGTCGCCCCGGCCCATGACCTCGGGCAGCATCGCCGGCGCGCCCGTCCTTCCGCCGATCCAGAAACTCGAGCCCAGCCCCAAGTTGATGGGCCGAAGCTCGCCCGACGCGCCGATCCCGCCGCCAATTAAGTGCATGACCCCGGAGCAAGAGGAGCGCCGGCAGAGGGAGAATGCCCTGCGACAGCAGGCGGCGCAACTGAATGGCCAGCAATCGATCATGTTGTCGCCTTCCCTCAACCGCATACCGCCGCTGGGACCACCTGCGGTGGCGCCTAAGCCCGGGACAACCTCTACACCGTCTGGTCCGAATTAAAGGGCATTAGAATCGATTTGTTTTTTTGTCACATTCGTCGCCTGATACGTGTTTGCATTGGACAAAAGCGGATTGGCTCTAAAGCGGATCTTTGATTGTGACTACTACAAGATTCCTTGATCGCTTGAATAGACCTGGCATGTGCCATCTATCCGGCAGGGGTTGTTGTCGTCTGAAGCAGCAGGGAGGGGGGGCGGGCGGTGCTTCATAGGTATGAGCTGACTTAGACTCGTCTTTCTTGTCTGTGAATGCAGCCGGACGTGTCGTTTCATACCTCCTACTACGCACATCTATCTAACTGTCTCCCCAATCTTCTCACTCGTCAGAGTCTTGTGCTCTGGCCTACCTACCTTGTCTTAACACACAACTTCTTTTTTCCACATCTCATTTTGCTTCGACTGGAATTGCTTGGGTTGGCGCACCGGATACAGTTTCTACTTTCCTTTTTGTTTGCCCTTGTGCTCCAAATATCTTCTTCTGGTTTAGAGAGAGGTCAGGGCGTTGCAGGCATTCGGAATAACCAATTACAAACCATAGATAAGGAAAGGGGTGAGGGAGCATATACTGAATTTTATTTTCGGAATCATCATACGCCACGCTTAAAGTTCGCTAGCTAGTTCAGTTCACACAGGGCCTACCTACATTTCAATCAGGAGTATTTCTGTTCCAAGTTGAATTAGATACCTACCAGAAAAGGAAACAAGCTCAGTCGAGTCGGGAACCTTAATGGTCGATTTTAGGGGATCGGAATCACGGCTTCTCCCGCTCGATTAGGCCTGAAGCTTGATAGGATCGGTCCCGCTGAAGCTTTTCTCAGATCGGACCATAGACATTTAACCCATCTAGCGATCGAAAAGAGGGTAACTTTCCGCCGTCATCTTGTGT